TTTTTTTTTTTTTTTTTTTTAAATTCGAACGCATCGAGATGCAACAATCCCTATTGAATGAAGTCCAAAAGAAATTATATACACATTCCGTATATTTCTCGTAAACTCAGTGACAATGTGTCAACCGTTGTTGCAATTATTACATCATACATACATACGAAATACATTTTGGTTTTGTTTGTCTTTTGTTTTATTATTATTATTATTATTATTATTAATTATAATTATTTATTATAATTATTTATTATTATTATTATTATTATTATTATTATTATTATTATTATTTATTATTATTATTATTATTATTATTATTATTATTATTATTATTTTTTACCGCTTTCTTTCTTTCTTTCTTCTTCCCTTTTTCTTCCTCTCTTTTTTTTTTTTTTAATTTTCGTTTAATTATTTTGTTTGATCCTTAGTCTCTCGAGGGAGGCACTTTGAACGTAGTTATCTCCCCTTCGCCCCCGCGGCGAAAGACGACATTCCACCTCGCCGTGATCGGTATGGAAATATCGAAGGTTCTCCATTTTATTTTTCTTATTCATTGTTGTATGGGTGTGTGTTTGTTTGTGCTTGTGGTATTTCTGTTTTTTTTTTTTTTTTTAACGTGTCGGGTACGCGCGCGTCTCTTACGTGTCATGTGTGTACGTATATACGCGTGTATTGTTGCATTTTTTTCCATTTGTGTTACTTTTTTTTTTTTCTTTTACGCATGCTATTATATGTATATGACACATTTACAATAATAACAATATGTTACTTGTCGACAATCACCACGGTACATCTGGGCTTCCATTTTTAATCGGCATACGTTTTCTTTTTGTTTTTTTTCTTATTTTCCTTTCTTCCTTTTTTTCATGTTTAATCCTTCCTCTTTTCTCTATTTTATATATATAATATATATATATATATATATAATCCGAAAAGTTTCGTGTACGTATGTATTTGTTACCGATACTCATTGCGTAATGGCTCTGTAATGCAGCTTATTAGCTTCATTCACTTTTCGTTTTTATGTTCCTTATATATTCGTTTATCACAAAATTTCGAATGTGTCATTAATATTGAACAATTCACACAAATCATACTTTTTTTTTTTACTTATTCTCTCTCTCTCTCGCTCGCGTTCTCTCTCTTTCTCTCTCTCTCTCTCTCTCTCTCTCTCTCTCTCGCTCGCATTCTCTTTCTCTCTCTCTTTCTCTTTCTCGCACGCATTAAATTATATTTCTCACTTCATATTTCTTTCTTGTATCCTTTATTACACGTGGATGTAATTACTCTGTTAATTTTAATAATAACGATGATGATACTAATAATAATATGATCAATAATCAATAATAATAATAATATAATCAATAATAAATAATCAATAATAATCAATAATAATCATAATATAATCCAAATGATCCGTTATTTTTTCTTCTTCACGTTTAATACGCATACTGCAATTGGCAGTAATAATCTTTTTGCGAAATATAAGTTTAAGTTAGCATACTATTGGATGTACGAGCTTGATGTAAGGGGATGAGGCTGGGGTTGAGGGTTAGGAGTGGGTTATGAGGATTTTGTGGGTGTTTCGGAATTGTTTCTTGTTATTGTTGTTAAATCTTTTTACGCTTCTACGCTAAGATACGAGAATTCGGTTTTGTGCCCAGCATTGTGTCAATCTCATACCTAAATACGATTATTAAATGAATAATAGAAGGGAATATATGGAGATATTAATTATTGAGCAGAAAGCATATATGCAAAACAATTATTTCTTGTTTCTTATTTTTTTTTATCTTTCGTTTATCAAGTAACTTAGATTTGTTATACTTGTGTGTACTTGTGTATCAAGCTTTCTATTACATATATATATA